TCCGAAGGCCCAACCCAGGTACGCGGCGACCGGCGCCACGTGGCGGCCCCCGACGGCCTAACTTTTCGGGACCGCCTCCACCGCGGAGGGATTTCTCCGTAAACCGTCGCCCACAGTGCCCCAGCCCCATCGGGCCTTGAGTCCCCTGCGCACACGCCCCTTGTTCACCCAATTGCATTCATATCCTTAAGACTCCCCCACTTTCCCAAAAATTTTTGGCACACCCCTTTTTCGCACTTCCAGGCCGACATCCCACTCTGATCAAGAAGTCGCGCTGGGCGTGAGGTTGGGCGTCACAGTGTGACGGTTACGAACTGATAACCCTGCCCCTTCGATATGACAAACACATGCAGGTGGACTGCGGTGTCCCATTCAAGGGACCAGAGGAGTTTTTGGACATGTTCCCCCCGCCAGCCACAACAATAGTGGAAGTGCAATGGTATGGTCAGGAATAGAAGCAGATAAGGTGTGCAGGGCAGTGATAATAAGGGGAGGAGGGAACCAGCAATCAACAACACGAATCCGACACCTGATACTAGGTGAAGAGGCTCCCTTCATCCCCCCAGTTAGTCACCAAAGGGAGGCTGGACCCGGTTTCCAGCACACCAAGAGGGTAGGAAAGATAGAAACTGCTAAGATGGTTTGCAAAGTCAACCCTCTGTATGGACCACTACATATCTGAGCAAGTGATGCGGGCAGACGAGAGTGTTCACAAGCTCATTTTGTAAGGGATGCTAGACCCGGTCTCCAGCAGACACGAGCTTATTCTTGTAAGGGACGCTGGTACTTCTCTGCCCAATTCTAATCTCCCCCACTCCTAATGGCGCAGAATGGTTAGAAGTAGGGAAAATTGAGGAGAGTAGGGTAGAGCTTGATTTTTGAATAACGGGGTTAATCCTTCCTTGCTAGGGAAGCAATCAATGCCCCTTGCTCATGCTATATTCGTGTCGTACAGGGAAATTGTCTCCAGGGGAGCAGTGGCTGAGGCTCTTCCAGCCCTAATGGGAAGAGGCGTGTGTGTACATGTTGTAATCAATTTTGTAATTGGAGCCTTGGGC